ACGCGTGCGGTGACAGACCGTGCGGTGACCTCAGAACCCCAAGAGACCTCACCGCACGGTCTGTCACCGCACGGTCTTGGGACTCTGGAGGCCCCTGTCGCCCGAGACGTCCTCGGAGAGGGACTCGAGTCCCAACACCGTGCCGTGACCCCGAGTCCCCACCGACTCACCGAACGGTGTGGTCACCACCCCGTTTGGGGGACCCCGATCCTCTTTGGTTGACCCAAAAGGAAGCGTGAAGCGTGAAGTCCCGGCTGAGACAGGCCCACGAGGGGCGGGACGGTGAAACTTGCAGCGATGGGTCGGCCAAACGCCGCGCGGGCAAACTCTTATTGACCCTGCGCACATGACACACCAGACACAAACAACAACACACGCACACACCAGCACGACGTGTAAAGTGCGTCATCACAAAAACAATCAAGTATGTCGTCTTGAAGCAAGATGAAGCAAGGTTATGGCGTGGTGGCCCAATCACCAAATGTAACTGATAACTCTCGCCATGCCTCCCTGTCCTGCGCTCTCACCATCCATTCTCCGTGTCCCACATCACCACACCATTTGCGCAACGCATATTCAAACTTCATCCATCGTCGACGAGTCGGCCTTTCTGGTCGCAACCATCGACCGCCAGCTGCTGTCTGCCACGCAGAGTCTCTCCATTTTGTCACAATCAGGGCCCATTCAGAGGGGGGCATTCGAGCGACGTGCCCTGCCCATCTCCACTTCATCTCAAAATGCTCTCGTGTCCAGTCCTTTGCGCCCGCCGTGTTCGCGAGCTGCCTGTTCTCGCCACAGAACTGTTGAATAGCTTGAGACGCTTGTTCAATGAGAAACCCTTTCTTGTCAGCAACCTCCTCATCGCCCAAAACTTCGACCAACCACATGCAATTCGGTGTGCAATCTCGCTCCCTGTCACGTCATCGAGGGACAACTTCGTCCCCAGAAGTTCCAAACATGACCCGTGCGGCAAGATTTCGATGGAAAAACCCTCCTCTATCTGAACCCGCCCTCGGCCGGCATCCTCCCTGTTGGTCTGTACTTGACATTTCGTCGGATGCAGCGAAAGCCCTCTTCTGGGATGGTGCAATGCGACGACAGGAGAGGCGTCTCACACCAGATGCCACAGCGACCCTTACGTTGTGGCTCACGCGAGCCACTGGCGCGGCACGCCACATCGGAAACGGGGGGCGCCCACGCGCGACCTTGCGCGGAACGCTCACGCGCCAGCGTCGATGAAGACCCGTCTACTGCGCCGCGCACCGGAGCGACGAAGAGAAGCGGGCATTGCGCAAGATGGCACGTGGCCGCGCCCACTTTGTAGCCTTGCGAACCTGCGGCAGTCACACGCTCGTGTTGGCGGGCATGTTGTGTGACCCCTCTACAAAATGGACGGCGGCGCATACAGTCACCCCGTGGTGCAATATGGATGAAAGATAAGTGTGTCTGGGCCTTGGAAGGCCATGTAGACACTTTGCAAGCGGGGCGCGGCCAGCGAAAGCGGCCAAGGATGGACCGAAGGGAAAAGATGCAAGGGTAACCTTGGAAACTTGCTTAGTCCTACTATGCTAAGCGACTGTACCAGAACGGGACCCGTGCACCGCAGCATACTTGGACCCCCTTTAGGCGCCACACCGGGGCGGTGCGGTGAAAAATCAATCTTTCGGCGGCTGTTCGGCCCTGAAGGGCTGAAAAACTATGCACGGCACCACTCCTGAATCGATCGAGGATCGACGACGCCTCAGGAGACGCCAACGCGGCACGGTGCACATAAATCGTCCGCGGAAAACGGCGACCTCACGACCCGGCCTACGCGGAACGCCAGCGTGGCACGCCGCGATTCCTGAGGGCAACTCATGGGAGCCTCCCAGGCAGTTTCGTTTTTGGGTTCTTGCGAATTGACGCTCGTCGACGCCAAATCGACGCGAAAACATAAGTCAATCAACGTGAAACCTGGGGTTTCTCGTCGACTGCGAGACGCACTGCGCCATGAAGGCGGAATTGCAAGGGTATACAAGTCTCCGATGACCTGCATTCTAAAAACGGAACTCACAAGGTAAGCAAGGGTATATAACGCACTCCAAGGACGGAGTGTGGACATTGTCAAGGGTTTACGAAGATATTACAATATACCAGGCCACCGAGCACAGTGGAGGCGAGGGCGCCTGTGCGCGATCTGACGCGGGCAGCTTGCGCACCCATGCCCGTGCGGAGGACCCCGTGCTTCTGCGCCGCGCACCTGGCTGCGACCAAGAGGCGGAGGAGCGCCCACGCCTCCGCGGCGGCGCCGAGCTGCAGGGCCCAGTAGATCCTGCGCCGCCGGGAGTCTGCCCAGATCTCCGACGGCATGATTTCTGTTCGGCTCAGCCGGCGCTTCTGCTCCTCGATGCTTCGGCCCTCGGGCAATCGCGGGCCGTGGTCCATCGGGCAAGCAAACAACGGATCCCGGACGAAATGCTCGCCCCGGGGAGGCGGGCGCTCGGGACCTCCCGTAGGCCCAGGGGCTTTCCAAGAATCAGACCCGCGGGTATCAGGGCACGGCAGAGTTCGCGTCGTGACGAATTCGGCGGTGGTGTCTGACAGCTCGTGGATCGGTCAGTCTCCCCAGGCATGCGAGGTCCTGATTTCTTCAATGCGCGGTCCCTGGAAGTCCCGATCCTCTCCCCGGGACCGGCTTCTCGTCCTGAGTCGTTTTGTTGACGGTCCCGAGACCCGGGCGAGGGCCTCCAGAGGCCGAAAACGGCCAAGAGCCTCCCGTCGTGATTGTTCTACGACGCGATCAATGTCTGTGTTGAACGATCGGCGGCTCTCCGATGGCCAAAGGGGTCCATATTGACCGGCTCGGGGTCACCAGCGCCGTTCAACCTTGAACACGCCCGCGGCGGCACGACGCGAACCTACCGTATGTGCACTTTCACTGCCAGATGGTCGTATCTGAAAGGCGGGCAAAGGGGGGTAGGGGGAGGGGGGAATGCTTCATAGAAGGAGGCAGTTTCCTAGAAAGCGCGGGCCGTACATCTGTCGACAAGGCCCGCGCCTTCTAAGAATCAAGAGTGCCTCTGAGAAGCCTTCCCCCCTACCCCCCGTGCGCGCCGCCAAATCTCCATGGGGCTCGAGGAGCGGTGGATATATGCACCAGAGCAGAAAGAACCACCACCACCAGGCTTTGGGGGGGGGGGCTGGCCGCTCCCCCCTCCGAGCTGGTGGCACCCTGTTCAGGGCACGTCCCCAGAGGGTGCCCTGAACGGAGTGCCACCGGCTCGGGGGGGGGGGGGTCTTTTGGGAACGGAGTTCCATGGAGTCCTGGTGGCAGTGGATCCCTTCTCGCTATCATGAGATAGGGGATGCCTGCCCGCCGATGCGGCCGTCGGACGTCCGCATCCGCCACTCCGCGAGACCCCAGGGCACGACACTGGAGCCGTGCATGTGGCGGATTTCGGAAACCCTGAATCCAAAAACGCTTCCATCTCTTGGGGGGCGCATCTTTTACCCCCGCCGCATTCCGCCGCCCGTCCGCCGCCCTTCCGGCTTCCGCTGGCGGAGGCGGCCTCGTTGTACTTCCGCCGACCTTCCGCCGCCAGTCAGCCGCCCTCCGCCGAGGAAAAGATGGCAACTCCTTCCGTCCTCGAAGGCAAGACCCTTTCTGGGAAAGGACCTGGGCACACCTCCTTGGTCGACCCAAAAGGGGGTCCAGCTGAAAAGGGTGGTGAAATAGAGGTGGGGCAATAGTGTTGCCAATGCATTGCGCCGGAGAATTGTTTTGCATTGTATGGCAGCTAATGCATGGCACGCGAAACTCCAGCAATACGCTTGCGCACCGGAATGCATTGCACGCCCCCCAAATCGATTGCAACCCCGCAAATGTAGCGCACCAACTCTACTGCACCACCCCCTTTCCTCGGGGGCGGCCAAGAGGGGGGCGTCCAAGAAGGGGGGGCGCAAATCATGGCCTGCGGCATGTGCGCGGCCCTTGGGGGGGGCCAGGGACGTCATGAAATGAGGAGAGGCGCCATGAGATCTGGGGAGATATCATGGCCCCCGCCATGATATATCCCCCCCCCTGGTCATCACCCCCCTCCCGGCCATCGCTCGGACGTCCATTCCCTGTGTTTTTTTTGGTTTCGTGCGTGGTTTTTTCGCCAAGTGATCAAGGATGCTCCTCGATGCTCCTCGCCGAAGGAAAAAACGCACACGTCCGAGCGATGCCAGGCCTCTTTGCCGACCCTGATTTCCGCTGGACCCCCTTTTCGGGTCAACCAAAAACTTCGGGGCCGCAGCTCTGGAGGCCCCCCGCCTCCGCATCCGCCTCCTCCTCCTCCTCCTCCTCCTCCTCCTCCTCCTCCCGCAGCTCTGAAGGCCCCCCGCCTCCGCCTCGCGAAGAACCGCTCGGGGAAGAGCTCCCGCGCGGAGGCGGGGACCCCGCCCTCCGAGAGAACGCGCTTTTCACGGGCGCCTGCCTCGGGAACACTCGGCGGCGCGCGCCTCACGCCGGGGGGGTGGGTTCCCCCCCCCCCCCCCAAACACTCGGCGCCGTGGATCAGAGCCAGGGGGACTCCCCTCCCCCCCAACCCCCCATCCTCTCGACCCCCCCCCCCCTCCCAGAGGGGTGGGGGGGGACTGCCCCCGCACCCCCCCCCCCCCCAAAGGTGCTCGGGGGCCGCGTGTCCGCGGGGCCCGCCCCAGCTCGGCGGGGTGGCGCCCGCAAGCTATCGTGCGCGGAGGGGCCCCGCCGTGCAGTGCCTGACGCCGACTTGACGCGCCCACCAGGCCGCCCCAAAACTTATGTTGCTCCCATCGTACGTAAGGACCACATCCCAGAAGTAATTTCGAGCACCCAGAAAAGTGTCGAGAGGTGCCCAGAGGGTGTCGAAACAGTGTCGAAAGAGTGTCTCCCAGGGCCCGACACGTGAGAACCCTCAAGTTTTGGTGTGCTTTCTTGGCGCTTGAAATTCACTCTGGTGATCACAAGGCTAAAAGTAGGTTGGAACATCATAACCCAAAACCTTACCCGAAGGCCCCGCGAGGCGGGGATCTGTCAATGTCCACCGCCTGGGGACCAACGTCCTGGTGCCCCAGCGGGCGGTGGATGTGGCTATATTTCGGCCCCCGTGGGCCCGAACTATGTCCATGTCCGCCACCTGCCGAGGCTCCGAAAACTGACCCTCCAGGCGGTGGATGTGGATAAGTTCCCGCCTCGGAGGCCCGCCCTTCGGGTTGGGGGAGGGGTACGGGCTCCACACGACGTGTTTCTTTTCAGTGCTCCCCGACCCCCCACCCCACCCCACCCCACTGGAGATGGAGGGCAGATCGGGGCCGTCGGGCTGGGTTGACTGATGGGGTGGCTTGGTGGGCGTTGACTGACGTGTTCTGGCCGTGGAGGTCCAGCTCTCGTCGTAGAAGGTGACGGACTCCCCGCTGGGCGGCTGCAGTTCCAGCGAGGCCACGGGGGCGCTGAGCTGCACGCGCTTCTTCACGCCCGAATAGACGATCAGCTTCAGGTCGCTGTCCGTCTCCTGGGACATCCGGAGCGCTGCGCCGAACAAGTTGCCGCGGCCCTCTTTCGCGTCCACCTTTTGCAATGCAGGGCTGAACCTAAACTGTGTTTTTCGCTTTCGTTTTGTTTTCGTTTTCCCTCGCCTTTGTCTCCATTCCGCCTTTGCGGCAAAACGAAGTCGAAACGAAAACGGCCCGCGAAATCCCCAAAAGCACCGTTTAGGTCCAGCCCTGTTGCAATGAAGGAACACTGTCCTGGACCTGCGGGGCCTACCCTGCGACGTTCGGGGCCCGAGCCGTTCGCTGACAGTCCGGGCAGCCTGGGGAGGGCCCTGCGAGGGGGAAAATCACGAGCCTTTCCCCGCTGACCTGACGTCCGCCGGTGCGACTGTTTTATGAGTCATGTGGCCCAAGGGCTCCTGGCCGCTTCTTCGTCCCCGATCAACTCTCCGCCCGGGAACAGATCACCTATGCGTATGTTGCTCCCATAGCACTTAAGGACCACACTCCAGAAATCATTTCGAGCACCCGGGAAGGTGTCGAAAGAGTGTTGGCAGAGTGCCGAAGGAGCGTCGAGGAGCTTCTGTATTTTCTCTGGCGCTCGAAATTATGCCTGGTGGTCAAGGCTAAAGGTACAGTCCGAATAGTTTTTCAGTCGCAGCTATGGTTGCAGGCCCGATTGAGACGTCTCGATTTGTTTCAAAAAGTGCTTCTCAGCTCCATAGCCGGCCTACAGCTTGAATAAAGTAAAGGTTGGAATAGCAGAAGCCTATGCCAGAAGCCTTCGGGGGTGGGCGAGGGTGCCCAAATATGAAAAAATAGCCTACGTATACTAAAAAACAAAAAATACTACAAACAAAAAGTCCCCAGACTACTTTTGTATTATTTTTGTACTATTTTGGAGTGTGTATTGTTTTTCGTCAAAAAGCCCCCTGTAGGGGGACAGGCCCGACTTAAAACCTATGCCAGGAACCTTCGGGGGTGGGCGAGGGCCCGTGCAGCGCGTCGCGGGCCTGGCGCGCAGCATGGCCTCCGCGGGGCGTGGCCCTTGCCTTCTGCGCGGGGCCCCCCGGGCGGTAGAGGCCGACTGGGGCGGGGAGGGCGTGGCACACGACAGAAACCTCGAACAAGAAGTGGCATAAACATAAATGAAGGGGCCCCAGGACACACAAATAAATACACACTAATAAAACGATCACCCGTATTTTCCTATATTTTCTGGGTTTCTGTCTTCCCCCCCACTTCCCATATTTTCCCATCTTTCCTGGTCCTGGGGAATCGACGATTAATTGTGTCTGTGTTTTTCCCCTCCTGAATAAAAAAGTTAGTAGGGGCACAGCAGAAAGCTCGAGCAAAAACGTTGGCAGGGGCACCGAAAGTGGCATATACACATACAGACTCGGAGGTCCGCGCGGATTCCTCGGATCGGGACTGGGCCCCCCTCCCTGGCGCGCGGGGCGCGCTTAGGGGCGGCGCCGGAGGCGCCGCTGGGGGGCCCCAACGCCGATCCGAAGAATCCGCGCGGACCTCCGAGTCTGTTTATGTGTATGCCAATTTCTTGGGGGACCCCGAAACGGTGTGGTGACCACACCGTGTGGTGAGTCGGTGGGGACTCGGGGTCACCACACGGTTTTGGGACTCGAGTCCCTCTCCGAGGATGTCTCGGGCAACAAGGGCCTCCAGGGTCCCAAAACCGTGCGATGACGGACCGTGCGGTGAGGTCTTGGGGGATTTCGAGGTCACCGCACGATCCATCACCGCACCGTTTCGGGACTCCCAATTTTTGTTCCCCTAGTTGGATGGTCCTGGGGCCCAGTCATGCTGGAACCGAGGAAGAAGAACCGCCGATCGACAAACGTCGTCCAGCGAGCGGCTTGAGTAAGGAGCACTTACTTTTCAAAGGGGTCTCGGTCGTTCCTTAGACTTGCATGCGTTATTGTCGTTCTTTATGCGTTATGTAATAGTCATCGTTCCTGATGCGTTACTCCTAGGAAAAAATGGCTTCGTTCCTTATTCATCGTTCCTTAGGTCATGCCGATAACTGTACTGGCGAAGGCAGAAAGTTCCCGCTGGTTTGTTTGGTTTACTGTCGAAGGCGGTTGGGGCCATGCCACAAGCAGTTCCCTTCTCCAGATACCTCTCGATCCCCTTTTGGGCCCCAGATGGCCCCTTTCGAGCCCCAAGGTGCACGAGAGGTGCACCTGTCTCCTGTCACCCCCCCTTCTCCCGCACGCCCGAGTTCAGAAAACAAGAAAGCGTCTGGAGCCCTATGGACCACATCTTCCTTCGGCATTTCACAACGGGATCGATCTGTGATATGCGAAAACGCCCCGCCTGAGCACGTTGCATTGCCTAGATCTCAGTGTTTGGACCCAGTTCCTTCCGTCGTACCCCAATTACCGACGTCATGATTTAGTCATAACGTCGACCCCAAGAGGTCTCAACCAATTCCCTGGGACCAATTTCTCATCCTGAAGCGCTTCTCGACGGTCCCGAGACGCGGAAAGGACTCCCAAAGGCCGAAAATGGAGAAGAACTTCGAGCCGTGATCATTTCATAAATCGAGAGGGTCTGGGTATGCTGAGCAGGGACCGACCGTCCTGGCATTCCTGTAGGCCTACCACGAAATTGTTTTAGACCCAACGCAACGAATGTTCTGAGAACGAAGGCACAGTTCTTAGATCATGAAGCAAATGTGTTGAAACAAGACGGTCTTAACCAGAAATGCTCGAAGAACCTTCCGTGCAAACCAAACAACAGATTTTTGGAGTATTCTTTGGTGGGCCTATAGGCAAGCCGGGACGCCTCGCCACTGCCTGAACACAAAGGGTCACCTCCTGCATCTCAGCGCCCTCGTCGTCCAGCCGGAAGAGCCGGACGGAGCCAGACCACAGGATGCCGCCCTGGGCCCTCGCCGCACCCGGCCGCCGCTCGCCCGGCGATGAGGCGGGTGCACTGGCCACGGGCGCCGCAGCGGGCCTAAGGCACGAGGACAACCCAAAGATCCAACGTGTTGAAGAGACCAAGACGGTGGTTTTCTGCCATCTTCGGCCTCTGGAGACCCTCGCCCAGGCGCGGGACCGTCGACAACCGACTCAGGATGCAAAACCGGCCCTGCGGAAAGGCTCGGGACTTCCAGGTACCCCGCCTTGAAAGCAAATCATGACATCGGATCTCTAGAAATCGGCAGCAGGCTCAGGAGAGACAGCAGAGCCGAGTGTTGCTGGAAGTGCGCGCCGACCTGCATATCCTAATCGGGCTCCGACTTGTCTCCTCTTTCGTTTATTGCTCTTTCGCTTCGTGCCTGTATTAGCTTCCGGAGCAGCCCACCGCTCGCTTTGACCGGCGCCTGACCGTGACGCACACCCTGGCGCCCGCGGGCTGACAAGTGTTGCTAGAAGTGCTCTGGCCCAAGGTGCCCCCGAGATTTCCAAGGAGGCCCCCACGGCCTCCAGACCAGCCCTCACAAGGCCCAGAGGGCCCCAGGGTCTCAAACATTTAGTGAACAGCTGCGGGCACCTTCGGCCAGGAGCACCTTTAGCAACCCCTAATAAGGGTCGGGCCTTCTCAGAGGGCTCGGGATGCCTCCAGCCTTGTGAAGCATGTTATGGATCTTCTCCGAAGGCAGAGGCGTGCTGCGGCAACTCATGGGAATCTCCCATACCGTGTTGCTGGCTCCTGCGACTCGACGCTACTCGACGCTAAACGACGCGCTGACCGGCGCTCGTCGACGCTACATCGGCGCTATCTCATCGAGCACTCGGCGCTAATCGACGCTAGTGGACTATTCTAAGACGGAGCTACGAGGGTATACAAGGCTCGCAGGAGCTGCTCCCGACGAGACGGCCTTCAGAAGGCAGGATGGCTTCTGAGTAGCCCCGCCGCTCTTTAAGGAGGCCTGCCCCCTCTCACTTCTCCCGCCCAGGCGCAACAGAGACAGGCGACGCCACCAGCACCAGCGCGACAAGCCAGGTCCAAATCTCCGATGAATTGGGGTCCTGGCGGTGTTTTTTTCACCGGCGGTTTTTCACCCAGTGCCTGGGGCCCGTTACTTGTTTTCCAGCTTCCAATGTCACAGTATTGCTTTCTTCAGTTTGAATGAGGTTGGGAGACCCAACCAACAGCTGGCATTCTATGTCTGCTACAGTTCTCGACAGCACAAAATCATCGGGGACAAGGTATTGGTGTCCACATACTACACCTGAGGTTGAAACCAGGCACGCTTCCAAATGCACCGAACTTTGTAGCAGGTTTAGGGATCCCTTGTGGACACAAACTGTGAACTAAAGTCAACACACACGGGGCCATCAGCCATGGATCCGGAGCGAAAAAACTATCGTCGGGGGAGAGGTCGGGATCTCGCGGGCCGCGGCTGGAAAAACTGGGATCGGTGGATGTCAGGGCTGGTGGTGTGGTCTTCCTCCCCACTCGAGACGTCCTCTGTCCCCCGCTCGTGGAGGCATCGTGGAACTCCTCGCTGGAGGCCGGATCCCTGGTGCTGGTGGTGTCGTATTTGTTTGTCCTGCGGGACCTGGGCACCGCGCCCGCAGAAGAGGAGAGGGCCGCACAGGCATAAGCTTTCGGAGGTCCGCGCGGATCCGTGCCAGGTAGAGGATAGAGAACTGTGCGCATACACCGATTCTGGCCAGGCCCATCCCGAGCCCAGGATCGGTGCATACGCCGTCGTGGCTTGGCCAGGGAGGCATCTACACCGATCCTGGGCTCTAGGACGGGCCTGGCCAGGATCTGTATCCGCATAGGTCTGCTCGCCCGATCAGGGAGCCACACTCGCGAACCCTGACCCTCCAGTTCAGACTGCTGAGAAACACTAGCAGAGGCTGAGAATTCGGAGAAGTCTGCGGCCAAGCGGGCCCACACATCGGGGGGGGGCCGGATGAGCGACGATCGAAAGCGGGTCTGTGGCTGTATCGACCTTGCGCGGTGGCGTGGCGTAGCGACCTTACGCGGTGGCTGTGGCTTACGCGGGCCGCCCGTGCGGCACGCCACATTAGAAGCGAGGGCGCTTACGCGCGACCTCACGCAGGAAGACAACGCCAACGTCGGCACAGACGACCCCGTTTTTAGCGTCGCTCAAATGCGTCCCTGACCCAAGGTGTCCCATTCCCGTGCATTCCCCCCTGCATTTCTCGATCTCGTGCGTGAGTTGTTTCGCAAGATGATCCAAGACGCTCCTCGAGGGTCCTCGGCGATAAACAATGCACACGCCCGAGCGATGCCATGGCCGCGCGGCACGCCACATGAAACGAGGGCGCTTACGCGCGACCTCACGCGGGCAGCTTACATGCCAATGTCGGCGCAGACGACCCCGTACCCCAATGTCGGCGCAGACAACCCTTCCTGGCCCAAGGTTCGGCGGCGAGCCAGGGGGAAGTGAGAAACGGAACTCCCCCGGCCTTGTGAGAAGCTCCCTACGCCTTCCCCCGAAGACACAGACAGCTTCTCAGAAGGCGCGACGGCTTCTGAGAGGTCCCGCCGCCATCTGAGAAGGCCTTCTCCTCCTCATGTCCCCCTCGGCGCGCCGCCGACTTTGGTTTTCGGGTCATGACTCGGGTCTCCGGCGGCAGTTCGGGACAATCCCGACACCCCTGGAACGCCACTGGCGAGGCGCAGCTGCTGGAAAGCATCCCGAGGCTGGAAAGCCGCCGAACACCGACGAAAACGTCCCGAGACTTGGGTCGGGCGTGTCCCCCCTACAGGGGGATTTTGGGCGGCAAATGAGAAATACCCCGAAAATGCCCCCCCAAATAAAACAACAAATATGTGTATATATATATATGTGTGTATAACCTAAAAAATAGCCCCCCCCTACGATTTTAAAACTATTTTTGGATCTTCCCCCTGCAGAGGGACAGGCCCGACCTAACCCGAGCCCTCAGACCTCGCCCTGGCTCTCCGCCGCGGGGTGCCCCGGGGATGCCCACGCAGACCCCCGCGGCCCGCGGCCTCCGGAGGCCGAGTTGGGCCGCGCGAGCGGGGGGGGGGATGGCAAAGGGGGGGGGCTGAGAATTTCGGACGCCCGACATGGATACGCAGATACGCGGAAACGCCGTCGCATGGCTACGCCTCGCGCGGGGCATCCGCGAAACCCAGGGAAGGGTACCCTCCTCGGGCCCTGAAGGCCCCCTTTGGGGCCCTCGAGGGCCTCGCAATGGGGGCCATGAACGACTCCTTGTCGGCAGCCCTCGCTCCTGGGCGCAATGCCCAACAAGAAGTGTTGTCCCAAACCAACAGCGGCCGCGGTTGGGCAGGCGGCCTTCTGTCTTCAATGGAGACAGGCCGCGGCGGCGCGGACAGCGAGTCTTGTTCAAGATGAACAGGAACTGCTGTTGGGCATTGTACCCATTCTTTCCGTACCCATGTCGGGCGTCCAGAAGAATCAGCTCACGTGGCTGATTTTCACGGCGCCTCCCGGCGCCGGAGGCGGCCATGTATCGAGGAATGGGCCCGGCGGCGGGGCCGAAGCCAGCTGCATGCAGCAGATTTCGTAACACCCCCCATTCCCTATCCCTATGCTGTTCCCGTCATACTCAAGGACCGCATCCCAAAAATAACTCCGAGCACCCAGAAACGTGTCAAAAGAGTGTCGAAACAGTGTCGGGCGAGTGTCTCCCAGGGCCCGGCGCGTGAAAACCCTTGAGTCTCGGTACTCTGCTAGGCGCTCGAAAGTCTTCCTGGTGGTCAAGGCTACAGTAGGTTGGAGCATCATAACCCATGTTTTCAGGGTGTTTCTCACATGATCTGGGCTTTTGTCATACTTTCCCGTATGTTCTGGGCTTCTGTCTCCCCCCGCACTTCCCATACTTTCCCATATCCTCCTGGGAGTGGACGACCCGCGAGGCCGCCCTCGTGGATTCCGTTTGTATACATATATATATATAGAGAGAGAGAGAGAGAGAGAGAAAAAAAAAAAAGAGAGAGAAAACTATCTATATACATATACATACATATATATATATGTATAGTTATGTTTGTTGCTGCCTTTTTTTTTGTATTTTTTAAGCATTTCCCATTTTTCGCCCAAACCCCCCCTGTAGGGGGCACACGCCCGACCCAAGTCTCGGGACATTTTCGTCGGTGCTCGGCGGCCTCCCCGCGAGGCCGGCCTCCCGGCCGCGCGCGCGCGCCGCGCAGCCGTCGGTCGGAGGAGGCGGGCGAACACTCGCGAAGTGCAGCTGGGGCAGCGACCCGAGGAACCCCAAAGGAGGAGCGAGGCCCCTGTTTCCTGTGCGTTGACTGCCTACCAGACCACCCCAACCCAACCCGAAGACCCCAATTTCGGGTTGGGGGGGTACGGGTTCCATACGTGTTTTTTCGGTGTTCCCCGACCCCCCCCCCACTGGAAATGGAGGGCAAATTGAGGCCTTCGGGTTGGGTTGGGATGGCTTGGTGGGTAGTGATGAGTTACACGTCGGCCCGAAGAAGTGTGGGTAAGAACATGAGGCAGGAAGCCAGATCGAGCTGATTGGGTCCAAGCCCCTTCCAGAGAATAACAAAACACAGCAAAAGCGTGTCGATTCTTGAGGTAGGACGGCGCTTGAAGTAGATTGGGATCTGGGAGTCCAAAAATACATACTTTCAACGACCGGCGTGTAAACTCCGAGCTTCCATAAAAAATCTCAGGAAGACCCGAGAAGCACTGCAAAACAAATAAAAAACACGGAGCCCCTCCCAATTCGAAACGGGTTCCTTCTGCAGCCCCCCGACTGTAGGGAGGCGCCGGGTCCAGGCCCTCCCAGCGAATAGCAAAACGCACACCAAGATCATGCCGAGGAAGCGTTAGATGTAGACCGGGCTCCGGGGGTCAAAAACAAGACCCGCGTGGACTCATGGACGTGCACGTCCATCTTTCGCTCCTGATTCTCGGCTTGGGGAGGCAGCGCGATGCCGACGACGTGCCGCTGTGGGGAACGCATCGGCGTGAGCTTGCTGCAGAGGCACCCAGCCTCTGGACACAACACGAAAATACCATGTTCCCTCCTCCCGATGGATCAGCGCTGGACCCCCTCTCCAGCACTCCGACGTTGTGACTGTTGCAATCCGCGGCCCCATCGGTGTCGACCCCTATGGCCGGGGGTGTTTTCGTCCTGGATCCGCTTCTGGTGGCACCCTGGCCAGAACCGGAGGCGGCACCAGAGGGCCCAAATCGAGGCAAACCTTCCAGACTGAACGAACCAACGCCGTCAGGGATCCGGTTCCCCAGGAACACGGAGCGCGACAATGCTTGAGCAGGGACCCGCTGTCCCAGCATTCCTGTAGGCCTACCACGGAATTCTCTTTGACCTAAACATGTTGTTCTTAGAACATAAGAGCCGATGTTTTCAGCGAAATGTTCTGAGAGCATTGCGTGACAACCACAGGCGGTTCTCAGAGCATTCTTCGGTGGGCCCATCGGCAGGCCAGGACGCCTCGCTTCTCTTGCCATCGCTCGGACGCCCATTCACCGTGCATTGTCCGGTTCTGTGCGCGTTTTTGTCGGATCGGTGATCAAAGCTGACCCTCGATGGTCCTCGCCAGAACAAAAATGCACACGCCCAAACGATGCCAAACACTGCTTGTCGACTGACATGCGCGAGTGGACGCCCCGCCGGGCCGGCCCGGCAAACAAAATCCGTGCCGTGGGCCTGCTCTCCTGCGCCGCGCTCTGCTCTCCTGTTGGCGGCGAGGGGCGGGGGGGAAACGAGAAGGAGCGGGCCTCCTCAGAGGGCTCGGAGGTCCCCTGGCCTTCCTAAGAAGTCTTCTGGGCCTTCCCCGAGGGCAAAAGGGCTTCCGAGAAGTCCCGCCGCCTTCTGAGAAGGCCTTCTCCTTCTCATGTTACCCCCATCGCTCTTGTCGGGAGCGGCTAAGAGGGGGGTCTCCAAGAGGGGGGATGCAAATCATGACCAGCGTCATGTGCGCGGCCCAGCGGGAGGGCCAGGGACGTAATGAAACAAGAAGAGGCGCCATGAGATCTGGGGAAATATCATGGCCCCCGCCATGATATCCACCCCCCCCTAGTCATCATCCCCCTCTTTTCCGCCCCCGATCTTGAGCAGGAACCGACCGTCCGTACATTCCTACAGGCCTGCCACGACATGTTCTTGGGACCCAGACATGTTCTAAGAAGAAGAACAATGCTCTTAGTACATGAGCCCGATGTTTTAAAGAAGGCAGTCCCAGCCAGAAATGTTCAAAGAACATGTCGTGCAGATCACACAAGGTTCTTAGAACATTCGGCGGTGGACAAACCTCCCTCTAGTAGACCTCCCCTTCGTGAAAACGGCCTGAGACCGAAACCGACGGACCTGGACCCGCAAAAATGACGCCCGCGAGGCCCTCTCGCGAACCGAAAACGGCCAATTCACTAATCGACGTGTCAGGGTAGGAGGTCTATCCACCTCTGAAACATTCTTTGGAGGGCCTATAGGCAAAAGCCAGGACGCTGCGCCGCTGCTCGGCGCTCGCCGCCGATCCTGCTCTGCTGGGCGCCGCGAAGGGCGCCGCGGCGTCGCCCCCATCGTCGAAGAGGCCAGCGAGCCTCGACGTGCCGACGAGCGGCAGGGGGACCTGGGGTGCCTCCCTCCTCCTCCTCCTCCATCCTCATCGCTACCCCCTCCTCCCTCCACCTCCTACTTCCACCTCTTTCGCCTCGCTCCTCCTCTTCCTCCTCCTGCTCCTCCTCCTCCTCCTCCTCCTCCTCCTCCCCTCCTCCTCTTCCTCCTGCTCCTCCCCCCTCCTCGATCCTCCTCCTCTTCCTCCTCTTCCTCCTGCTCCTCCCTCCTCCCCTCCTCCTCCTCCTCCTCCTCCTCCCTCCTCCTCCTCCTCCTCGAGCGGCCAGGGGGACCTGGGCTTGGGACGCACGGGGCCCCGCGGAGCACGACGCGCCCTCCCCGGGGGCACGTGCCCGACCCGAATACGGCATGGCGGATTCCGGCAATTCCGGAACCCCTCACTGCACCGACCTTGCAGGCGTGCTGGGGCGGGTCCTTGCGCGGATGTCTGTCACTATAGCTGTTCAGCCCCCTTCCTCCTCCTCCTCCTCCTCCTCCTCCTCCTCCTCCTCCTGCCTCCTCCTCCTCCTGCTCCTCCTGTTCCTCCTGTTCCTCCTGTTCCTCCTCCTCCTCCTCCTCCTCCTCCTCCTCCTCCTCTCCTCCTCCTCCTCCTCCCTCCTATGCTTAGCACGCTTGCCGTGTCACCCAATTGTCTAGTATATCTCACAACTTCTGCCAACGCACCTATGTTGTGCATGTCGTCTGTCTGTCTGTCTGTCTGTCAAAGCCCCGAAAGGGCGAGTGAAGAACGAGGTGGACTTCGCGTGGATTTGGCTTGGGCGTCCTTCCTGACCGACAGGGATCCGCACGGAATTCACATCGAAGTCCGAGCGAAATTCTCCAGGGCACTCCGGGCTCACCCAATCGTGGTCCGAGCGAAATCCGCTCTGCGATGTTGGCGCCATGAACCCAAAAACGTTGGTTTCATCTCTTGGAGGCGTCTCCTTTTGAGCAGGGACCGACCGACCCGGCATTCCTATAGTCCTACCACGACATGTTCATAGAACCCAAAAGTGCTCTAAGAACAAAAACAACGTTCTTAGAACATAATCCCGATGTGTTACAACAAGACACTATCAACCAAAAATGTTCTGAGAACACGTCGTGGTAACCACAAAACGGTTCTTAGGACATTGTCTGGCAGGGCTACAGGCGAGCCAAAACGCTTCGCCACTGCTTCATTGTTGCTTCCGCCGCCTCCCGCCGGCCTTCCGCTGGCCTTCCGCCGGCGGAGGCGGCCCCGTTGTGCCTCCGCCGGCCTGATGCCGCCTGCCGCTGGGGTGGGCCGCGCAAGGACGCACTCGTGCAGTCAGCCCGCACTATGCAGGGGGGCGATGCTGGCCATCGCTCGGACTTCCATTCCCTATGTTTTTTGTTCGGCTTCGTGCGTGGTCTGTTCGCCAAGTGATCAAGGATGCTCCTCGACGGTCCTCCCCCACAGAGAAATACACACGTCCGAGCGATGCCAAGGATGAGGGTGCAAGGGCCTCGGAGAGCAGCGATGGCGTTTTTCGAACAAGGCTGGCCAGCGAGAGTCGCTGAGGATGGACCGAGGAGGCAAGGACCTAGGATGCAAGGGCACCCTTGGGAAGGTTGCCCATCCATACTTTAGGGGCCGACTGTACTAGTACGATGTGTCCTCCCTGGAGGCGTGCGTCCAACTCGAACATCTAGTCCAACGGTCTTACAACATATCGTTTCCCAAGTGTTCCAAGTGTAATGACCCGAAAGCGCCCGCAGCGGCGCTTCTGCTATAAGACTTCTCGGTGCGCGCGTCGCCCCAGGGGGGGGGGGGGGGGGGGGGGGGGGGGGGCAAACGCACACACGGTATTAGTATGCTGGGGTGACGCCGATGGGGCGCGGCCCAGGTCGGGCCGGGCGAGGGGGTAAACACGCATGGTATGCACGCTTCGTGCACATCTTCCTCTACGTCACCGCCATGTTGGCTACTTCCTTCTCGAGTCACACAATCAACGTGACAACGGTCTGAGACACTGTAAAAGCGCGCGTGTGTGAAAAAAGAGGGGTGGTTAGGCCAATAGGCGGCCGGGAGCATCGCCGAGAGACCGGCGAAAGTTCTCCCACAACGAACCCGCGCGATCCTGGGAGGGGTGGGCTGTTAGGACCCTGCCGGAAACTGGACGGACGATTGGGGGTAAATATGCTCCCATCTGAGCATGCACCCCCTTGATATTGCCCCTGATGGGGTCGTTGTGAAAGAGGTTCGGTCTGCCAGGGCGATTGGCGAATCGGCTCACGTGGCAGATGGCGGGAAGCGCGCTTAGACTTGAAGAGTCGCGCGATGGACGTCGCATCTGGGCCAAGAAGGGATTTTTTTATCGAGCGGGGGGTTCCAATCTCAGTGGGCCCCGGAAACGGCAGGGCTGTTTTTTCACCGTTTTCCCAAAAATGCCCCTTGAAAATGGAAACGGCAAAAAAACGGCAACCGGAAACAACGAAAAAACGGCTCCAGGATTGGAGCTGGAGCCGGAACCGGTCAAAAAACGACGACGGAACCAATAAAAAAACGGCGTCGGAACCGGCAAAAAAACGGCAAAACGGAACCGGAAAAAAAACGACCCTGTCGTTTCCAGGGCCCACTAAGGTTCCAATGGGGGGAGTGGTGGCGGGATCGGGCCTTCGCGGTGAGACGTGGCGGACGACGGGGAGCGCGCTCAGAAGGGCCTGGCTCGAGCGATGCCTGGCGTTTTTCTCGCGTGCGTCGGCGGGGCCGCAAGCCCGCGCACAGCATGCATGCAGTCGATGGCGGGGCATGTTTCTTTTTCTTTCTTTCCAGCGCAATATTTTGGGAGAAGGAGGAGGAAAGCTGAGGGGACGAAGCGGACAGAACGGATGACCTCGCGTGGCGTCAAAACGGGAGGGGGGACATGTTTCGTTTCCCCGTCTTCTTTGCGCCATCGCTTGCCGAAGTTACCCACGCTGGAGGGCCGAGCGTTCGGTGACGGCACGATCACCGTGGAGCTCCATGATATCGACTGACGCCGAGGATCGGAGCGAGCCAGTGCCCAGCACTGGGAGCTATCACCGCGCCTGCCGAACCATACGCACCAGAGGGCGTGTGTGGTCCTGGGGAGTCCTGTACGATGGCCAGGACGCAGTGGCAAAGCTATGCCGAGTGGCGGCGCACAGTACCGCGGTGCTCCCACCACCACTTCTCCCGCCGACCCACCGCATCCCGACACGGGGACATGTCAAGGTGTGGGCTGGACGCCTGGACGAAGTTCTCCGACATGCGGCGGCTGCTCGAATCGACGTGCTTGCCCTGACGGACACCATGCTCTCCAGTGAGCACCAGTGGGAGAGCCCTAACTACAGCACCACGCCTTCTCCATGCCCGATTCGCCACCAGACGGATGGTGTTGCCATTGCGGTGTCCGAGCTGGCGGCGGTCTCCGCCACGTGCGATTTCCTCACGTCCATGACGGAGCGCCAGTTCTCTGCCTTCTCTGATGGCATGGGCTGCGTGATCAAACAGAAGCGGGAGGCTGTTGGGTGGGCCACCTGTCTCGCCGACCAGTGTGCCCCTACCGGTGCCATGCACGGAGAGGACGCCGCTGAAGGAGATGGCCACACTCGTCCTCCAGCCCGAGGACAGCCATCGTGCCACCTACCGCGTCACGTGGCCAGGGAGCTCGAGAGCAGGGCCAAGACGAAGCTGAGCATGAAGCAGAACATGGACCGTGCGGTGGAGTCCTACAACTTCGAAATCACGACTCGCCCAGGCGGCAGCCGCGGAGGCGGGCGAGGCGCACGAGGGGCACCCGCAGAGCAGACGCCCAGGCGCCCTGCTCCGAGCGGACCTGTACCACCTGCAGTCGGCACTCCGAAGGCACGGAGCCGTCCTGAGGGAGGACAAGACCGAGGACGACCAACAGCAGGTCCAGATGGCCTCGAAGGCGGTGGTCACCGCTGGCGAGACGGCCCCTGTAGTGCTCTCGTGCCAAGCGGCGCGCTGCCTCGTGGCAGAGTGCCAGGACAGCGAGAAGGAGGGCAGGGCCCGCTGGACCGTCACGACCGACCGCCACCGCGATTTGCTCGGATCCACCCGCACCCTCCGCCTGGCTTCGAAGTGGCAGAAGCTGGTGGGCACCCAGATCGACGACGATCATGCCCCTCGCTCCAAGCCGCCAAACTGGGTGAGGAACTAGCAGTCTAGCCTACGGCCAAGGCAAAGGGAACGACGAAGTGAACTTGAAACGGATGTTGAGTATACTCCTTCTGTTTGGTTTCGCATGCCAGTCCATCTTTCGTTTATGCAGCTGCCCTGCTGTGTATGATTTGTTCTTGGCTGGTCAGGATCACTGTGTTCTGTTTAGTGCTGACAGTCCGTCGCCACCAGTCGTTCGACCAGAGGGTCGTTCACTGTCAGGCGGCGTGTCCATCAGGGGATGGACGCCTCGCGTGATTTGTCTGAGTACGCACACGTGCGCAGGCCTCCCTTCGGTAGGCCTTGTGGAGCTCGCTAGACCTCATGGTTGGGGTTGCGGTATCAAAAAAGCGCGCTCAGACTCGAAGAGTCGCGCGATGGACGTCGCATCTGGGCCCAGAGGGGAAATCTTTATCAATTGGGGTATTTTGAGAATGACGCTTCGCCTGACACATCCTCACATAATCGATATGTTGGAGGCTACCGGTTAAGACGTCTTATGATAAACGGAGGCGTTTCGCCTGAGGCATCCTCACAGCATCAGGATGTTCAAATCCGTAGCGAAACCGTCGGATCTTCGAGAACGCGGCTCTCGCCGCAGACATCCTCCAAAACATGAGGTGTTGAAGCAACTGTCGTACGACATCGTTTGGGGGACGAGCTTGGAGGACCTTCAAGATGACCCAAGAACCAAAAGCATAGAACAAAGCAGTTGTGTGTCACTACTTCGGTTCAGAAGTAAGCGTTTCGCTCGAGACATCTTGTAACGTGCCTTCGGACGGGTCTTCGAAAACACCAGATTATGATGAAGGTGCTGGTGATGCTGATGATGACGCCGAAGATGATGCTT